CCTCTAAGTAGACTTGAACCCCTAACCTTTCGGGGAGCAGCGGATCATGTCAACCTGTTGGCATCACTAGGCTCCCCACTGGTGCCTCCCACTGTCATTGAGTTGATTCTAATCCATAGCAACCCTAGACAGGGTTTCTGAGGCTGTGAGTCTTTGTGGGACCAGACCGCCTCATCTTTCTCCCAAAGAGGGGCTGGTGGGTTTGAACACCTGACCTTGCAGTGAGTAGTCCAATGCCTACCAGACTCCTTTCATTGGTGCCTGATGCTGAGAAAACACATCTTCAATGGGCACCATACATGGACATTGGTCTCCCAGACCCGAAATCTCTGTATGTGCACCTGTGTCTGCCAAGTGCTTTCACTTCCAGTAGTATAGCTGTGTACCTATCCATGGGCACCAGGTGTTTGGAATGCCTGACCAGTTGTAATGGAGGTGAAATTTATATGCAGGGAAGTGCAGCCCTTTGGTGTTCTGATAACTCTTTATGTCCACGTGACTAGCTCTCCCAGACCAAATTTAGACCAAGCCCATCACCCTAGAAAGTTTCCTTGTACCCCCTTCCGGTTGGGTGCTCCTCTCTGTGCCTGGGGGTGAGCTGTGCCAAGCGTGTCACTGTGTCTTTTCCCAGGAGGGCGTGTGGATGGACCCTTGGTACTCAGCTATGGATGGGCGGGGCTACCTGTGTGCCCTCTGTCTCTATCTGCTCCCTCCCTTTCCCCTATTCATTGGCTCTCATCTCTCCCTGGACCGGCAGTCATCTTTTATTACTGGCTGCCGAAGATGTCTTTTTTTATGCCGGGGTTCTTAATTTTGAAGGTGGATGGGGGAACACCTACATTTCTCTTTTTATAAAAGCTGGTAATTAAGCTGCTTTTTGCCCAAGTGGCCCTGGCACTGCTCTGTCATTAGTGAAGCAGGGCCTCATGTCAAAATGTGCTCCCGGGTCTGGGGAGAGGGACCTGAGAGTCCCTGGGACAGGAAGGGGCCTGTTGTTGGCAGGCTGGGGGGAGGGGGGTGGGCACAGCCCTGCCCATTCCCTCACCGGCTCTCCTCGCCCTCCAGCAGCTTCCGGTAGGTGGCAATCTCCACATCGAGTGCCATCTTGACGTTGAGCAGGTCCTGGTACTCTCGCAGGTGACGGGCCATCTCATCCTTGAGGTGCCGTATCTCCTCCTCCAGCCGAGCGATATTGTCCTGATAGCCGCTGGCTTCGCTGGTGAAGCGGTCCTCCATCTCTCGCATCTGCCTCATCAGGGAATCGTTCTACGGGGAGGGCAGCCCAGGTCAAGGGTGGGCCATGATGGGGGCGTCGGCGGGAGCACGCCAGGCGCCCAGGATGGAGAGAGATGCAGCCCCCGGGGTCAGGGACACCTCAAGATGCTTGGGTCCAGGAGTCATCAAACCCTTCCCAGCCAGGGGTACCCTGAGCTCAAGGAAGTCTTAAGTGGAAGCTCAGAGAATAAGACGGATAGAGAAAGAATGTCTCTGTCCAGGGTCCCCCCTCCCCAAGAGAATCCATTCCTCTGGGTGAACCCCTGTTGTAGACCTGAGACAGGAATGCAGAGAGGGCAGTGGGGGGCTTCAGGTCACAGGGATGGGCGTGGCTCACGGGTAGGGACTTACGGTGCCCTTGAGGGCATCAATCTCGCATGTGTAGGACTGGATCTGGTGTCGGTACTCCATCATCTCCTGCTTGGCTTGGCGTAGTGCATCGTTGTTCTTGTTGGCCGCCTGGGTCAGGTCGGACACCTAAGGCCAGAGAGAGGGGCCCTGAGCTGAGCACGAAGCATGGGCATGCAGGCAGCAGGGGTGTCTCTGAGCCAGGCCATTCACCTTCGACTTGTACCACTCCTCGGCCTCTGAGATGTTCTTGGCCGCGATGGTCTCATACTGAGCCCGGATGTCCCTGAGGGCGGCCGTGAGGTCTGGCTTGGACATGTCCATCTCCACCTGGACCTGTTGCTCCTGAAGCTGGGCCTGCAGCTCACGGATCTCCTGCAGGGAGTGGCTAGGGTTCAGTGCCTCCCAGCCCACTCACTTGCTTGTTCCCCAGCTTCTCCCCCGCCCCCGCCCCCACACGGCCCAGGGCCGCGGGCCCCACATACCTCTTCGTGGACCTTTTTCAGGAACGCGATCTCCTCGTTGAGAGACTCGATTCTGCGCTCCAGGTCTATGCGAGCGAGGGTGGCCGCATCCACGTCCTGCCAGGGGCCCAAAGAGGGGCGGGGTCACTGACCATCCGGGCAGGGATGGGGGGGTTTGCGGAGACCCACACGGAGAGGGACAGAGGGACGGCATGAAGAAAGCTCACCGCTCGGAAAGCAGCCAAATTGTTCTCTGCTTCCTCTCTCAGCTGGATCTCCTCCTGCAGCCTGCCAGGGCACAGACAGACAGAAGGACGGGGAGTCTGTGAGCATAATGCAGGCAGGGGAGAGGCCAGGCTGGGGGCTCCCCAGGGAGGGGATTCGCACAGGCAGGAGGCCTGACCATTGGGCACAGGAGGGAAGCTCAGAAGAGGAGTGGCAGAGGCAC